GGCATGTGACGCCACTAATTACGTATGCCAGCCCAGCATGTTGGGTGGCAGGTGTTCGTGGGGTTCACGGGAGGCTGTCTTGCATGACACCTCGTGTCCCGAAGTTCGGGCAATCCGTGATGATACTGATGATGTTGACGAGGAGGAGGAACATCAGGAGGTAGAGGAGAAGGAAGATAATGGTTGTCACATTCTTTGGGGAGCTTGCATGGAGCTCATTTGGGCTGTCTTGGGTAGTCTTGCGGGTCCCTGACGGGCCGTCTTGTGGGTGGCTCTTGCTGGGCCGCCTGGAGGACCCACCATGGGGCCTTTGTGCTGTCCTCGTTTCGTTGGTCATCCTTGGGTGTTCTCTGGCCGTCTTGAGACCCATTGGGAGCTTGAGCTAACGGAGGCCCGACAAGGGGAGACTACGAACATCTTCCAAACACCATTTGACACATACATGGCGCGTTCCAAAAAGGTCCTCGCCTTCGAGAGTCGAAGGAGTTGTAATCTCTTCCTCGGCGGAAGGGCGGCTGAGGGTCGGCGAAAGTAAAACGAGGCCGCCTCCGCTGGCGAAAGCCGGCGGAAGCTCGGCGGAAGGCGGCGGAAGTAAAGAATGCGCCCCCAAGAGATGACAACGATGTTGGGTTCAGAGTTCCGAAATTCGCCACATGAGTTTGGCCTCTTCGGGCCCTGATGGAGACATCTTGGGCCCTCCAAAGGCCATCCGTGGCCGACTTGGTGCCATCTTGGGCCGTCTTAAGACCATTTAGGAGCTTGAGCTGACGGAGGCCCGAACATCTTTCAAACACCGGTTGGCACATACGAACATCTTCCAAACTTCGGTTGGCACATACGTGAAATTGGCCTCTTGGGGCCCTGGTGGAGGCATCTTGGACCCTCCAAAGGCCATCTGTGGTCGACTTGGGGCCATCTTTTGCCGTCTTGAAGGCACCTCGAACCGTCTTTGCGTCCTTGGTTTCCTGCCTCGTCCGTCTTAGAATTGTACGAGGGTTCGCGACCTCGGGAGGGGGGGCGTGCACACGCCTGTCTGCTAGTAGAGGGGGTCCCTTAGACGATGTCAGTCACCCTACCAGACAGCACATTGTACTCTGCCGCGCCTCCTCTTGCCAGGGGGGCACGGTGGCGGATCCAGTCCAATATTTCGCCTGATCAGATATGGGTCGACGTTCGCGCGCTGATTACCCGACACGAATCCCACGTGAAATCGAGTCGCAAGAGGCTTCCTGGGTTTTCATCATCACGTTTCTTCCATGCCAATCTCATTCGTCCCCCTCTCTACCCAGGATCGACCTGAAGCCGCATGCTCCGCTAGAGCTGGCCGAGCAGCGGACGTGCCTGCGGCCGCGCACGCAGCCCACACAGGCTCCCACAGGGGAAGGGAACTGGCTGGCAGGGAGGCCGGGGGAGGATAGTCGTACCGCGCGCAGGCACGACGAAGGGCGGGCACACCAAAGCAAACCGGGTGCGCCCAACACTCGCCACTGGTCAGCCGAGTGCTCGCTGCCAAAATCGACGAGGGGCCCAGCTCGAGGACTTATGACGCGCCTGCGGGATAGTCTTTCTCCCCTGCAGTCCGGCGGGCGCCACCAAGGGCCCCCCCCCTTTCTCGCTTCTGAACCCCCCACTCTCTCCGCCGTGGCGGCGAGGGAGTCCAGGGCGGGAGGGCCCCTTGGAGGCTGGCCCCAGCCACGGAGGGCCCCCATGGAATCTGGGCGCGGCTCCGGGACTTCGCCCGTGCCCCCTCGCGCACTGGCGCGGAGCGGTACAGCGGGGCGGCGATGCCCGACGCAAGCAAACACGCGAACTCGCCGCCACCACCCGACCCACATGCCGCTCAGCGCAGACACACCAGCTCATAGCATTCTACTTCAGTGCACCTACTTTTGCGTTCTGATCCCGCATGGGCACGTCTTACTCCAAATAGAAAGGGTTGATCAGGGAGGTGCTGCTCGGGGGAGGTGTGGAGCTTGCTGCCCGGGGGAGGTGTGGAGATGGGCCTCGACTCCAGCAGCGTCCGGCAAGGGGCTTGGGGATCCGCGCCGGGGAGTGGCTCGGGCCCCTGCGCATCAGTCAGAGGTGACGATAGGGGCGAATAGCCCAGGGGAGAGCAATGCATGTATCCAGGGGCGCCTATGATCTATGTCTTCGGCGAGGCTCCCAGGCGAATACATGGTGTAAAGCTCGCCCCGGGCTATTCGCCCCTATCGTCGCCCCCGAGAGGGCCCCATGGAATCTGGGCGCGGCTTCGAGACTTCGCCCGTGCCCCCTCGCGCACCTGGCGCGGAGCGGTACCGCGGGGCGGCGAGCCCGAGAGACAGGAAGAGAGGGGGGGAGGGGGGAGGTGGCCTTGAGACGGCGGTCAATGCAAACGGGGTCAGCCAGTGCGCCAGTGCGCCCGACCTTGCAGGGTCGTATTGACCCGGGCTTGGGTGCAGGATCCTGCAGGATCCTTCGCATTGACCCAGGTTTGGGTGCAGGATCTTGCAGGATTCTGCAAGGCCTGACTGACCCAGGTCTGGATTGACCCGGGTCAGAAGATCCCCGAGTGTGGAGGTGGGCCCGACTCCAGCAGCGTCCGGCAAGGGGCCTTGGGATCCGCACCGGGGAGTGGCTCAGGCCCCTGCGCAACAGGGCCCCCGTTTCCGCTGTCCGCAACAGAGGCACCAACGAACGTCGTCTCCGGCCGCTTTTTGAGCGCCATCGCACCATTATGAGGGCTATTCGAGGGTATGCCCCCGTGTGCCACCACGACAGTACATCCCCTCATTTGCCCGATGTCTGCCGACTTTGAACAACCCACCCACCACCACTACCCTGGGGCATCGAATTCCTGGGAGTGTTTGGGACCCCTGCGCTAACGGGCTCTGTTTCCGCCATCCGTAAAAGTAACATCAGCATTACCCCCTTCTGTTGCCGCCATCGCACCGCTTGTAGGCTGGCTCGCATATACGATTTGTTATATCCGAAGCCCCTCAATGTCTCGACCCTTTGCCGCATGTGTGTGTGTGTGTCTGTGTGTGTGTGTCTGTGTGTGTGTGTGTCTGTGTGTGTGCGTGTTTGCGCGTGTGCTTGCAAGGGGAATTATGGCCAGGGCCATGACACCACCCAGACTTCACGACCCCGTTTTCTTCATCAGTTGTTTCTTTTTGTTTACTACTGTTCTTGGGATGAGTCCCAACCCTGCCTTGGCTGGGTTCTCGTATTGAGTAATGCAATGTGGTGTGCACCTCCTCCTCCCCCTCCTCCCGCCTCCCCCCTTCTCCTTCCTTTTCCTCTATCCTGCTTGCCTCGTGACCTCGCCGTCCCCTGGGGGGCTGCGATTTGCGCAACCGTCGCCACGTTCGTGGGCTCCTGGGAGGGCCAGCGGAGGTGCGTCCTACGCAGATCACCGCGAGACCTCTTCGCACCATGGGGGGTGGCTGCGATCTGCGCTGCGAAACCGTTTCCAGTTTCGTTGGCTTCTTGGAGGGTCAGCGGAGGTACGTCCTACGCAGATCACCATGAGACCTCTTCGCACCCTGGGGGGCTGCAACCTGCGAAACTGTCGTCACTTTCGTGGGCTCCTGGGATTTCCAGCGGAGGTACGTCATACGCAGATCACGAGCCCTCGCCGTCCCCTTGGGGGGCTGCGATCTGCGAAACCGTCGCCACGTGCGTGGGCTTCTGGGAAGGCCAGCGGGGGTGCTCCACGCGGATCCCCGCTACATCGCCGTCCCGTGGAGGGGTGCGATCTGCGAAAATGTCGCCCTTTTCGTTGGCTTCCGGGAAGCCCAGCAGAGGTGCGTCTTACGCGTGTTGCCACGAGACCTCTTCGCACCCTGGGGGGGCTGCGATCTGCGAAATTGTCGCCATTTTCGTGGGCTCCTGGGAGGACCAGCGGAGGTACGTCCTACGCGGAACACCACGAGACCTCGCCGTCCCCTGGGGGGCCGCGATGGGCTTCTGGGAGGGCCAGCGGAGTGACGCGTCGTGTGCGAGGGCCGCGCAGCGAATAGCTCATGGTGATGTCCGTTGCCCATGCCGCATCCCTTTGCCGTTCTCCTGTAATGCATGCGGGCACATGCTACGTTTAGCGCAATGCCGTGTATGATCATAGCGCGCAGGGCGCTGTCCTTCAATGCGAACATAGCGCAAGGCGCTGCTGCTCCCACGAATTATGTTTCCAATCGTCCCTCCTCCACGTGTCCACGGCCCTGTGTGGTCGCTATATCACCAACGATCTGACTCTTAAGAGTGACGCCGCATGTGTGAAACATGTAGCTCTGGCCCGACGTTCTGTTGCGAAGCGTTCAATGGCACTGCGGATCATTCAATGGTCGCTTTTGTATTGAGCGATCCGACGTATACTTGCCACATGCTTAAACAGGGTTGGTTATGTCCGGGGGCATTCTTATTGTTATTGTTCTTCTTCCCCATCAACATGCCCCATGAAGCCCCCCCGCCTTCGCAGATTCCCTGGGCCATGTTGCGTTGACCCCCCCATTCCTGGCCCCTGTTTTCAGTGTGCGCCGGAGGTTTTCGAAGGATGCAAGGATTACGCCAAAACGTCTGGTCGGACAAGAACCTCGTCGTATACATTCCCCAACATGAAATGTCGAAATTTCGCGCGGATTACTTGGATCGGCGGTGGAAGTCTTTTTTGGCGCGCGGACCGCGCCAGGGAGGGCGCCGGAGGCCCGTCTTGGAGGAGCTAGCGTGGGTCCAAGAAATCTGCGCGGACCTCCGACAGTTTGTGTGTGTATGCCGTTTTCGCTATTTGGCGACTTGCCGGACCAATTCTCTGGTTTCTTTCGGGCGGGGGTAGAACGGGGATAACTCCGTTCCAGAGCTTTCTGGGACGCTCTCAAAGCGTTCTGGAAGGCTCAGAACGCCGCGGCGCCGGAGAAATCCTGCAGAGCCACCGGATCTCGCAGATTCTCTATTTGTCCTCGCCCGATGTTTGTCCATTGTCTTGGCTGTGTTCAGTTCCCGATTCCCGACCGTTCACCCGCGCACACCCTCCTCCGCTCAACCGGCCGCTCGGGCACGAGCCGCGCGCGGCCGCCGCGGAGCGCCGGGGCGTGCCTGCCGCGCAGTGCTGCACAGGCCGCGGGGACGGCCAAATTCAGGGGGGCAGACGTATTTCCCAAAGGGCAGGACCATCCGCTGGGATCAGATAGGATCGGCCGCCCTTTTTTTCCGGCCCGATGGACCCAAGTTCCCCAAGGTTTAAAATGTTTTTGGCCAGTGAGTTTTTATTCGGTTCTCGTGGCCGTGAGCGGACGGTTTCTTAGGTTTCATCGTCTTTGGAGTTTTGTGTTCAGCGTTGAGTCCACGGAACCGTTTCGGGGAACATCTCATCAGAACCACCACCACAACCATCATCGTCACCAACATTATTATCATAAGCAGAATCATGATCATCATCATCATCATCATCATCATCAACACCATCACTATCACCATCACCATAGTCATTATCAACACCCTCATCTTCATCCCCACCTTCAACTTGAAATGCATACTGCCATCATCATCATTGTCATTCTCCTCATCATACCATTATTCGCCATGCGCGTCATCATCAACAGCATCGACATGAGGACCGTCGTCACCATCATCATCAGTATCACCGCCATCGTCATCATCACAATCACCAGCACCATCGTGAAGATCATGGTTGCAACCATCACGCTATCATTAACACCACCATCAGCATCGTCACCATCATCACCATCGTCACCATCACCATCATTACCATCACCGCCACCCGCATCGTCATCTTGACCGTCATGAGTACCGCCTTCATCGTCAGCATCAGCGCCTTCAGCATCATCAGCACCACCACCATCACTCTCACCATCACCATCGTCATCGTCATCGTCATCGTCATCACCACCGTCGTCATCACCATCATCATCGCCAAACTCATCGTCGTTGTCGTCGCTGGGCCACGCTCAGCCCTGCCTGCACCCGCGCGCCTCAGGCGTCCAGCCCGCACGTGCGCTGTGGTTCCCTTGCCCGACAGCTGCGGAGCTTAGAAGCCCTCTCGCCGGCGGTGGCGGACGTGGTTGCACGCGCCGCCCGCCAGGTGCCAGAAGTCCAGAGCTTCGAGGACGTGCATGGACAGTCGCTTCGCGCATTCCCACCTAGCCTATCCAGAAATAATGCCCATGAGAGTTGTTTGGATGAGATTGCTGAACGAGGGGAGAGCATGAGGAGGGGACCGTCGGGGAGCAGGAATACCAGCACGACCAGGAGGAGGAGGAGGAGGGGCGAGCCTCGGCCAACAGGAGGAGGAGGGGGTGGAGGAGAACGAGGAGGATGACGATGAGGAAGGGGAACGAAGGATGAGGGGGAACTGGAGGCGTGCGCGGATGGTTTGTTGTGAACGCCTGTTTTAAGTCTCGTGGGGATACCTTTGGATCTTTTTGGAGCACTCTTGGGGTCCTGCTCGGACTGTTTCGGGGCCCTCTTGGGGCTGTTTTGGAGGTTTGGGGGGCCCTCCTTGCGCTCTTCTTTGGGAGGGTTTCGGTGCCTTCTTGGGCTGACCTTGGACCCCATGGCTCAAAAAGGGGGACTGAAATTTTGTGCCCCTCGGATGATAACAAACGCATCTTGGGAACCTCTCGGAGCGCTGCAAGGGACACCTTTGGGGCCTCCTTTGGCCGTCTCAAGGCCCTCTTTGGCTCATCTTCGGGCTCTCTGGGGCTATCTGAATACTTCAGATGCCCATCGGAGGCGAAATCTGACAATTCCCTGGTTTTCCGCCGGATTTGGACGACTTTGGCGGCCGCTTAGGGGTTTCCATGGGGGTCTCCGAGAGCACTTGAAGCCATGCTGGGACCCCTCAGGGGGCTGCCGAGCACACCTCCCGAGTTTGGGCTGGTCGGGTTTTTTCGGGTCGGCGCTGGACTTCCCCCCCCCCCGCATCCTTGGCGGCGCCTCTGGCGCCTGCCCTGAGCGCGCTCCGCGTGCCCCCTCGTTCGAGTCGTGCCCTTTTGGGATTCCACCTGACGCATCCTGAGGCAGTTTCGCATGCCGCGGCCCGCCCATTTCGGCGCACCCTTCACGCGGATCGTGCCCCTAAGGGATTTCCGCCTCTGGCCTCTGCATAGAGACCTCAACCTGCGCTGAGCGGGCCAGTTCGCATGGTTTGGCGTGCTCATTTCGGCACAGCCCTCACGCGGGTCCTACCTCACAGCGGGCTCCACGTGGGGCAGCTCGCATGCCTTGGCGCGCCCATTTGGGCACACCCCTCGCGCGGATCGTGCCCCGCCGTAGGGAGCTCCGCCTCCGGCCACACAGGGAGAGTTTGTATGCCGCGGCGCGCCCATGTCGGCACACCTTTCATGCGGATCGTATCCCAGTTCGCATGTTGCTGCGCGCCAATTGCTCTACTTGCGGCCCCAGAGGGAGGCCTCGGTGCGGTTATGTCGGCGCGCCTGTCATGCGGATCCTGCCTAAAAGGGATTTGTAACTATTGCCCCGGAAGAACAGTTAGCAGGCCGCGGCGTGTCCGTTTCGGCACACTTTTCAACCGAATGGTGCCCCGCATGGGGGCTCCACTTGCAGCACCAGCTGCGCACTATCGACGCGGATCCGTGCAACCCAGGGAGTTCAATGTGCGGCTTCACTGGGCGCCTTTCGTGTAGCGGCCTCCGCCCAGGTCGTGCCCAGGAGGGGGTTCAGTGCGCCTCTGCGCGCTTGCTCCGCAGCCGCCTATCCGCACGGTCCCTCGGCCCACCAGCGCGTTGTGCAGGGGTTCAGCGCGCCTTTGCGCGCTGGCTCCGCGGCCGCCTAGCTCTACGCACTGCCCTTCGGTCCACCGGCGCGCTGTAGGGGAAGAGTGATTCACATCCTTCGCGAATTACGCGCAGAGAAACTTTATTCCGCCCGTCGGCCGTATTTCGCCCCCACCCTCACGTTGTGCAGAAATGATGCCCAGCCTGGACAGGACACGGGCAGGACGTCTGCAAGGGTTTGTGCAAGAATCGCCAGCTACCGCGGCGCCCACGCCAGCGGTGGCCTGCGGCCAGCTCGTGATGGGCAGTTGCCCCTCAGCCTGAACGTGTTCACCGACTTATGCGGGGTAACGACGACCCAGCACCCAGCGTTTGCAAAACTCGAAGAAGAACAAACGCCAGAAATATGAGGTTTTGGCGTTCCGCGTGGATTTGTAAGCTCCAGCGGCGCGCGGATCCAAGAAATCCGCGCGGATGGCCAAAAGTTTATGTGTCTGGCTTATTTTCTTTTTCTTAAGTGGGTGTGCTTCTCTCCCTGCCCATCCCGCCCGGCCGCCAGGTCTCACGATGGGATCCACTCCCCCCGTTGCAGGTCCTATGTGCCTGGCGCTCTCGCCCCGGCGCCAGTCACCCTCGTCCTCCTCCTCCTCCTCCTCCTCCTCCTCCTCCTCCTCCCACTCCTGCTCCTACTCCTACTCCGACCCCTCCTCCGTTTCTCGAGCCACCTAGGCCCGAGCGCTTTGCTCGTGCCAACTCTCGTGCTTGCTCGGAGCGCTTGAGGCACACAGAGACGAGCCCTACAGAGAGGGCCAGTCATCTGTGAGCAAAACGAGAGTGTCAGACCCAACTCTTTCTTGCCAGCTGTGGAAGGCTCCTTTTTACTGGGCCAGCTTTCTGGAGCAGATGCCAATGCGGGAAGTGCGGGTGTAACGATATCCGCACAGGGCCGGGCGGCAAATGTGGTAAGTGTCAGCGCGACGTGGTCCTTCTGTCCCTCAGCAAATGGCTCGCAGTCGTTCGCAGTCGCCTGGTCGCGTGGCATTCGTTAGCCGATGAGGATGAAGTGTGGAACATCGAGAATGAGAGCAGTGGGCCCCAGAAGCATTCCGGGCGCCCGTGGGGGACAGCCACCAGCGTGATTGGCCACTTGATGGAGGCCATGCGGAGCACTGAGGACCAGGAGCTCAAGTCGTTGTTGAAGAAAATTATCGAGCTCCTGAAGAAGTCTCCTGCCAAAGTCGAGTCCCCCACGTCGGCCGCCGACGCTTGCGTGCGCGCTGAGGGCCACCCGAGGGATTGCAATCATAAGCACAACGAGATGGTTGCCAACGCGCGTTGCTTGCGCGACGCTTTGCCCACTGCAGAAGCCAAAGAAGCGACGGCGGCCCTGGCTCTGGCGGCACCTGAAATTGCAAAGAAGAGGGCAGCAGAAGTTTTCGCTCGCGCCGGAGGCCTGAGCCCGGATCAGCTCCCCACGGCAGCCCCTGACGCCAAGCGCGTTGATTAAGCGTTCTCGGTCTCGTGGGATCCTTAGATCCGAGGACATCGGCAGCTTGGAACGCGAGGAGTCTGGGAAAGTGGAGCTCAAGCGCATTCGCGTTCCTTGGCCCAGATGAAAGAGTCATTCCAAAGTACGGAAGCCGAGGCGAAGTCTTGGCTTGAGAGGGCGGCGAAGGTGGAGGAAGGTATTGCGTTGAAGTTGGCGGCCAATAAGCGGATGGTCGACGGCGCCGACGTCGTCGTCGGCGGGGGGGCGGGGCCCGAGGGCTAGCCCGCGGGCCCCGCTGAGGGCGGTGGAGCGGCGGCAGGCAGCGGCAGCAGTGGCAGGGGGGGCTCCCCGGCAGCAGCTGCTGCGGCGCAGGCCGCCGAGGCCGCGGCCCCGGGGGCGGGGCGGGCTGAGGCCGCCAGGATCTCGGCGGCCAAGTTCGCAGCTGTCGAGGCGACAGCAGCAGCCACGGTCAAAGGCAAGGGTAACCTGACTGCGGCTGACAGCGCCCCGCCGCCGACCTCAGCGCAGCGGTCAGCGCCTGTGGCTGCGCCCAGCGGACAGCTCCGCGGCGTTGGCGCGGGCGCCAGTTTTGTCGATGAATGCTGACTCTTTCTAGTCGAGGGCGTCGCGTCCACGGGGGGTCGCGCGTGGGCGCGGGCCCCAGATCTGTCAGCCAAATTCCATATCTTGGGTTGCACCGAGACTCGCGTCGAGGCGAGTCAGATACGCACATGGGCGAGCCAGGCTAGACAGAGGAAGCCAATGCTGATTTCTAACGCCGCCAGGCCGTCGGGTCGAGGCGGTCAGGCGCGAGCGGATCGCGCCGACGAAGGCGGAGAATGGCTTCTGGCGCGAGGTAATATTCAGCGCGA